TCGTCGTCGTCGTCATTCAATTCGTTATCAAAATGTTAATCAATATCATTTATAACTAAACAATTTTTTTTTTTTTTTTTGTTAATCAACTTCCAACTAGAATGAATTCACAACACTAATTATTATTATTATTATTTTGACGCTTGAATAGTTTGAAAGATAAAACAATGATAATATAATGAATAAATTTGTGAGAAGACAAAAAAAAATGGACAGAACAACAAAACAATTGAATTGAATTTTTTCTCTGTTGATGATGATGATGATGATATAATCGGATTTGATACCGGCAATAATCACTGTAATTGTGTGATTTGTTAATTATGATGATGAATGAAAAAAACAAACAGAAAAAAAATGATATGATGATTAGGATATTAATTTGATTTACGAATTAATTTACAGGCACAAACACCAGAAAGAAACACATTCTAACACACACACACACATACGATACATCGATTCTCTAAAAAATATTCATTCATTTTATTTATTTATTGAACAGAATTGGAACAAATTATACACATTCGTTCATCGTCCATATTATTATTATTATTTTGTTTATATTATTCTTGATTTTTTTTTCAGGTAAAAATTATACCTAATTTAATTATTTTGATGACGATGATGATTAAAATTGTTGTTGATGGTGTTGTTGTTGTGCTGATCACATGATGATGCCATTGATAATGACGGTGATGATGATGATGATGATGATAATTGTCATCATCATCATCAACAGCAGCAACAGCATTGGTTCATGTTTATCATGATAATAATATATTCTAAAGGCAATTTATTCTAAAGATAATAAACAAAAAATGTTGAAAGAAAGTACAACAACAATTACAATAAAGGACATAATGAAAACTTAATTGTCATTGAAATGATGATGGTTGTTGTTGTTGTTGTTGTTGGTATTCGTAAACAAACATATAAACATTGTATCAATATTCTAGATGTTTTTATTTTGAAGTTTTTTTTTTCTTCCTCAAAAACTATCTATCAGAAATTATTTGAATGATAGAATTATGTTTTTTTTTCTATTATGAAATAATAATGATTGTGAATTTTGTTTGCGGCTAATGGTGGTGTTGATGAATGTCACATTATTATTTAATCATCATCATATGGTTAATAAATAAATTTTACAGCACACACTTATTCACATACAGATTTTTATAAACAACGAAATAATAATTAAAAACATTTATTGTAATAAAAAATATTACAATGATCGGTCAAAAATGTATAATGAAAAATTATTATTATGGTTATTTTTTATTCAGCAATCATCATTCTTCATATGATTATCATTGTCATCATCATTATTATAAGAATTACTAACATTATTATTGTTGTTATTGTTGTTGTTGTTGTTGTTTTCATCACTATTCTTGTGAATACATAATGTATATAAACACACACACACACACACAAATAAGGACCAGATTTGCGGACGATTTGAATCGAAAAAGATAGATAGATAGAAAGGGAGGGAGGGGAGAGAGGGAAAAAAAGATAGAAAAAGAAATGCCGAGTTCGTTTCGCATTCGCAATAGAATTGCGATAGGATATACAACTATTATTATCACTGAAAATACATACAAAAAAAATGAAACAGTATTGAATTGAAGAAATTGAAATACTCTGAAGTGAGTGAGTGAGTGAATGGAATGAATGAATGAATGATAAAATCGTAGTAGACGACAATTCTAGATGTTATATTTTTTTTTTGGATAGAATCAAGGCACATACAACAATACACACACACCACAAACATATACATATAGATAGGTTCCAAACATATCAGAGCCAACATTCAAAATTGAAAATGGAACTAAGAATGAAAGAGTATATGGAACGAATATATGAATGAAAGAACCTAGAATCATCCTGGAATCCAAACTGGTTCATTTTCTACGGGTTTTTCTTTTCTTTCTTTTTTTTGGTTTTGTTTTGTTTGGCTCTTCATTTGTCCTATTTTAATGCTATGTATCAATGTGTATGTGGGTGTAGGTTCAAAAAAAAAACATATAAGTAATAACACAATTGAGAAATATATAAAAGTAGCTTGCTTAAACTTGAAAATAAATACAGACGAATACCAAAAAAAAGTGTATATCATCATGCTCGATATATTGAAAATAGGTTTCGTTTTTTTTCATCTCTTTATTCTTTTCTTTTCTTCTTTTTGCCATTTTTTTCTGGACTTTTCATATAGACAACATACACACGCACACACACACATATATATTCTATCTACCCAACTTTGGAATTGGAAAAAAGTAAACGCAAACTCGTTTGAATGTCTTTTTTTCAAATATAAACTGAATTGAAGAATAAATACAAATTTGCCGACTTGCGATTGACAATTTGACTTGTGCCTGGTAAATTCTCTCACACATTTACCAACACATATAGACAATGATAATAATGATGATGTAAAAGTAACTAATTTCAATTTATTATATTGAATCTTTTTTTTTGTTTGTTTTGTTTGTTTCGTTTACTTGTTTTGTTCTGAATGTTGTTTTGATTTTTTTTTGTGTGTTTGTGTTTAGGACAATGCAATGCGACAAAAAAAATTTAAATTTTTAAATTATTTTATTTTCATTTCAAAAAAGAATAACTACAAATGTTGTTGGTTAATAATAATAATAAACACCTATTCTTTTGTTTTAAATATTTTCTCTCTCTCTCTCTCTGTATGATATCATTATATATATGATCCCAAATAGTATTTAGTTGATGGTGTTCAAAATCCATTCTCCTAATATATATGACTTTTCATCCTTTACTTTTTCACTTACTATCTCTCTCATACACACACACACATCATTTGGTTTATTTGTTCACTAAACTTCTTCTTTCACTATATCTTGTTTCATCATCATCATCAATATAAAACACATACGAATAACACCAAGAAAAGAATAGAGTAGTAGAGAGACCCCTTCTCACACCCCCCAACCAAAAACAAAAATATCCAAAAAAAAAAAGGATTTTTTCTATCTCTCGTTTGCTTTACATAGAAGCATTGAATTGATGTGTCATCATCATTGGTTAATATATAGATAGATAGATAGAAAGATTCACATATATTGAACTTTACAATTTATATATAGTTATATAAATATAACATCACTAAAGGCTAAGGTTTGTTATGTAATGTGTGTGTGTGTGTGTGTGTGTGTGTGTTTATGCTTGGAATCCATAAGGATGCTGCTAATTTTCCTATCTCCCTCTCGCTTTTTTGATTCATTCATTTATCCTGAATTTTTTTATTATTTATTCATTTTAATTTTCACAATTTTCTTGAAGAAGAACAAAGAAAAACGTGAAAGAATCTATTCGCTATACTTTTTTGAAGAAGAAAAAAAAAATTATATCAATTTAGATTTCAATTCAATTTCAAACAAAACAAAAAAATATGAATGCAAAAACAAAATTGAGCAAGAATCATTAATGATGATGATGATGAAATTATTATTAAATAAAAATAACTATCCTGTATTTGAATGTTCCAATAATTATTGCATACAACATTAAACAAAACAAAAAAAAACAGACAGCTTCAAAAAAGAAAAATCAGCAGCCATTCGAAAAAGTAATAAAGCAAAAATAACGGTTTTTTTTACATTTTTTTTTCTTGTATATTATGAATTCATATCACTAATATTTCCCATCACTATCCACCTAAAATGAAAATGCTTAAAAAAAATGTTTGGATGTTTTAATGCGACGTCTCTTTGATTGTCTACCTCCTTCTTGCCTATAAACAACCAAACCAAAAAAAAAACTGAGAATCTTTAGTTGTCCGCGATGTTCATGTATATGTTAAAAATGGTGTTGGTGATGGTCTCTCACTCAAGTCCAATTAACCAAGGAGACCAAATGAAAAATGTCTTTGTATGTATGAATGGATGTATATATAATTTAAAAATAAAAAGAAACTATTAGAATCGTTCAGAAGTGAATCCCTGTTTATATTTCTTGATGATAAGATGCTAACATTGTATATAACAACAACAACAACAACAACAACAACAATACACCATGGCCCACATAATATATTTGATTGGAAAGTGAAATGAAGAGAAAGATAAAGGAAAACAAAAAATAAATTCCGATACACATGTGTGTATCAGAAGAAATAAACATTCAGGGATCCTGTATTTTTTCTTTTTTTGGATATGCTATTATAAAATATATGCAGGATATTTAAACAGAAATTGTTATTATCTGTTCATTTATATGTTGATGATTTTCGTTCACGAAATCTATGGAAAATAAACAGACAAAAAAAGAGAGGGAAGAAATTTTTATTAAATAAATTTTCTTCTATACAGTGGTACCTCGGTTAACGACGATGATCGGGACCTGAGAAACCGTCGTTAACCGAAATGTTCGTTAACCGAGGTACGATTTTCCATAGGTTTCAATGGAGAGCGGATAAAATTGATCCGACCTCAGACCTTGATTTCCTATTATCACCTTAAATTCTCGAAAAAAGCCATGTAAACATAATAAACTNATGTTGTCTTTGTTGAAAAAAATAAAATATTCATAATTAATTATACGCAAAAAATCAAAAAATTGATTTTTTTTAATCGTCGTTAACCGAAAAAATCATCGTTAACTGAGGTAATTTTTTCTCCTGACCCATCGTCGTTAACCGAAAAATTCGTTAACCGAGGTGTTCGTTAACCGAGGTACCACTGTATATGATCTATGGATTTATTCATGGATCATTTCATAAAACTAAAATATCTTTATTTTATTTCATTTTAGGTGCATCATGTAGATCAATTTGAAAATTGTTTTTTTATTTTTCCGGCT